TGAAGAGAGATTATACTTGAACATAAAGGGAACATTTGACATGGAGAGAGAGAGAAGAATTTGGCTGAAATGTGGACAAACCAACACCAGAAATTATCTCGACTGATGCCTTGTGGTATGACCCGCAAAAGGTACTGAGAAAGAGAGGTCTGTAGATGGGTAGATATGGAGACGGAAACCTGCCCATTTAGCTGCAAATAAACATAGCTAGCTGAAAATTCTTTAATTGCCTAAGCCGGAAAAAATGTTTGTTTGACTGAAAACAAGATTTCAGAGTCATGAGACATCATTTATATTGGAAGGTCTGTTACATCTAAGGAATCCTTGGGGGAAGATATCATTATTCATGAATGAAAGAGGCACAAATAAATAAAAAAAAAACAAAGAAAATGGAAAAATATTGAGAGATGTTGCAAAACATGGTAAAATATAGGGGTTTACTTTAGCACTTTAGACTCTTTTTTTTCCCCAACAACTACATCCTTTTAAAATTTGAAAGGAAAACAGCTAATGACTCGGGACTTTTAACAAATTCAATACTCTCAACGAATAACCAATTACTAAGGTAACAGCACTAAGAGGCAACACCAATGTTCCTCCATCATCATCTAACATCATTTGGCAGATTCTATCAGAAATGTCGACGCAGAGACTGCTGCGAAATAAAGATCAACTAGACTTCTCAAATATAAAAATCAAAAAATAAATTTCCATTGTAAGAAAACTAGCAATGCTCTTCACCTCAATTATTTCTTGACCCAGTGGTTAGTTTCAGGGAACTCAAAAACACATTGAGATAGTCTTTTAATAACTACTTTTATAGTTGTAAATGAGATGCACTCTAAAACTGCATATATCATATATGTCCCAGAAAATAGTAATAATTACAATCCAACATACAGCTAAAAAAAAAGACACCATTTATAAGAAAGATAAAAGAAAAAAGCAGCTAATAATAATTCATTATCCCTATACAAAGTAACATACAATAATTATCATATAAATAAGCAGGAAATACTATGTAACAAGCAATCTCTAATTGTAAATTCCCAAACATAAACTTGTCTTAATGATGAAAAATTTATGTACGCTAGAAACACTATACACAAATATCAATCCACAACATTATCTACGTTATGTGCCTAAAGATTTAATTAGGCTTAGAAAGTTGCACAATTTTTATTTATTTATTTCCTTCATGTTTGGTGGCTTGGGTCAGGCTTGGGGGGAAGGGGAGAGGGTCTGGAAGTAATCATTACCATGAAGCTTTCTTTTTTCAGCAGGCGAAGATGAAACATCATTCTCTATATCAAGATTCTTTTTGTCTGCAGTTGAGCCACGCACTGCAATGTCTGCAAACTTTTCCTCTTTGGATATAGGCTCCTCACTTTTTATATTCTTCTCTCCCATTTCTTCAGGATTATTCCCCGAATCAGTCTTATTCTCTATAGCATCTTCCATTGAATCATCCCCAGAACTTCTATCTAAATTTAACTTTTCAGAGAACCCCGCATCTACACCATCGTGTTTCTTGTGAAGTTCAGAAATCATGCCCTTAACATCATGTTTCTCCTCAACATCTTTGTTCACAGGTGAATCAACATCTTTATTCACAAGGGGTTCTACAACATCTTTGTTCATGGGTGACTCCACAACATCTCTGTTTGCAGGTGACTCTTCAACATTCTTGTTCACAGGTGGCTCTTCAACATCCATTGGATGTGATTCACCAGAATCTGGGACAATAATGCTGGATGATGGTTCCACCATCTCCTGCTTAACATCTAGTTCTAATTTCACATGGTCAGCAGATATATTTTCCTTTAGTTCAATCATTTCATTAATTGTCACAGAATCAGTAGAAATAGAATCAGTTCTTACTTGAGACCCTAAAACAGGGCTGACCTCAGATACCTGGTCGTCTGGAGCAGAAGAGTAGTGCATGGGATCTGCATGTTGAGACTTCAAATTCTCATTCTCCACCTGGGGCTCACAATTCACATCATCCAGCTGGGGCTTTGTATCCTCACTTTCCAGCTGGGGCTTTGAATCCTCACTTTCCAGCTGAGGCCTTGTATCCTCAGTTTCCAGCTGGGGCTTCGTATCCTCAGTTTCCAGCTGGGGCTTCGAATCCTCAATCTCCAACTGGAACTTTGAATCCCCAATCTCCGACTGGAGCTTTGAATCCTCGTTATCCTTGCTTTCAATGTTCGGTAAAGCTTCCTCACTTAATGCTACTTCGGAAACCACAGTTTCAGTCACAGTAACTTTAGTTTCCAGAGTAGTGACATGGATAGCCGACCCCTCTTCCACCCTAGGAGAACCATTGAGACTAACCCCATCTTGAAGTTTCCCTTTGCCCACCGCTGCAGTACCATCATTCTTGTCGACCTGAACTTCAACATCGTCTACCTTCTTCTCAACCTTGTTAGCATCTTCATTTGTTTCTTGCGTTGTTTGAGAAACAATAGATACATGTTCTTGGTCGTTGGCAGTATCTGTAAGTGGAGGGTCACCACCCTCAACACCATTGGTTTCCTCGGCATTTTCCCTTTCAATTCGAAGTGCTTCATCCAACCGTTTTATCAAATCTTCCTTCAGGCCCTTGATGGTTAATTTCCGTCTCTTAAGCTCTTCTTTCAACTCCGTAACCTTCCACTGATCAATCGGTCGATTATCAAGAATTGGATATTTCGA